CGAATAAAGGAAAAAAACTAGAAGAAATAAACCAAGCAAAACAGAAAAGTGTGAAAGAAATGGAATGTGTAAAGAACAAGAACCCTGAGAAAAGAAAGGGTGTGCATGGGGCTGGCTGTTCCTCTAGTCAGGGACACGGTCAGTCCCACAGTTCCCACCTTCAGTGGGCACTCAGGAGGATCCTAAGTGATTGGAGTTGATCGTGGCTGCAACGTGTCAAGCCAGCCAACAAGTTACCCCTCTGCCTCCTCTCCGGCCGCTCCTGTTCAGCTTCTTCTCCCAGCTGGTATTCAATCCACTTACCTAGCATCTCCTCCTCCTGCAGGGTTCCAGGGTTATTCTGTTTCCTCTAGTCTCCAGGGTCTTTGTGTAGTGTCTCTGCCAGTCTGCCACCTTGCCGAAAGCCCACATGTCCCGAGTTCTTGATGATTCGGGAAAACTTCCTTTTCCCTCCATCCATGCTGAAAACTGGCTGACGGCCTTAAGCAGCTGACTCTGCTCACTAGAGCCGCTGAAGTACATCACAGACGAGAGGTTTGTAGTTTACATTTGTTTTACTTCTGTAGAACAAGTCATAGGCAGCCACGGCCGCTGCCACGGCTTCTCGCTGAGATAAAAACAACAGAAAGCATCCACAGGGTTCAGTACTCAGCATCCATTTATTACCACAACAGAATGAACAGGGATTTGCTAACATTAGTTAACAGACCCATTTCCTAGAAAGCCTTATGCTGGTTACATAAACGTGGAAGTAGATGCCACACAAAACACGATCAACATTTTGTCTGCTGTACTTTCAGGGCTCCACAGTTGCACTTGGTGTAAAGCAAAGAGAATTTGGCTCCGATATAGTAGTTCATAAGCAGTAAAATCTTCAAGTTTCTCAAAGTGGTAAGATCCTCAGGCGCTGGCTCTCCTCTCTGCAGGAGGGGGCCTGAGTGCAGACTCGGCCATCTCAGCTCACAGGTTCGCTAGATCTAGAGGAAGTCCATCAGCAGACCGCCACCGCCCTCAGTGGAAAGCCTGACAAAACGGCACAAAGCAGGACACAAGACTAGTCACCCACCAGAAGTGTCACTGACCCTGTTTGGACTCAGGGAAAGGGCCCGGTGGCATTGACCTGGGAACCAGAACTCCCAGGTGCTCCAGAGACAGCCGGGTCAAAGGTTTCGACCCTGAACTCCCAGGAGCTGCAGACCCATGGTCACCACAACCCACTGAGGATCCTCTTGGCTTCTCAGCCAGGACAGGGAGAAATGTCGATTCCTCCTGGGCATTACGTGTAAGTGCTGAAAACGAAGAGGCCAAAGCCAGGCTCGGCGTGCATTGTTTTCTAAAGAAATTAAGCCCTTGGTGCACTGGTGGTCAAAGGAAAAAAGGAGAGAAGGTAATTTCTACAGCTAACCACATCCCTTGTTCATTTTTCCAACCCAGGGAAATCATGAGACTATTTTTGGGCCTTAAAAGCCCACACCGTGGGCAGATTTAAACAGCTGTGCTGTGCTGCAATCTCAGCCCTTTGAAGCAGGAAAATGACCAGCCCAACAAATGTGTTTCAGTAAGAAGTGAAATACACTGGCTTGGGAGGGAAAACTATTTTAAATTTCCAATACACAGGACAGCTTTTTTTTTAGCTTATTATTCCATGGGCAGTGCTTAATTTTTTTCACTTTTCTTTTTTTAAAAAAATATTTCTAAGTCACTGTTTATTTTTCTTTAATTACAGATATGCTTTGGACTATGTCAAACCATTCTCTGCTTTCCTGGCAGGTTATTTTAATGGTGATCTGCATAAAATGACAGTGACTGAAATTTCAAAGGAAAGCTGTTCATGTCACTGGGTTGTGGACGCTTTTTCCGTAATCTAAGTGAGATTTTTATGAAGGAAAAATGTCAGGTTTGAGAGTCTCATAAAGGAACACGCTATTATTTCTGGAAAGGGTGCCATGCTGTGTGGAAGCCGCTCTGGGGCTCACAATTGGGCACGGAGACCCACGTGGGAAAGTACACTCACGTGTGTGGAACCGGGGAGTCTCTGGAGACCAGCAGCCAAGAGCCCTGAGGACATGCGGGCCAAGAGCCTAAGAGCCCAAGCCCAGGACACGCCTGGGGGGTGGCAGCATGTGTGCGCCCCTGCCCTCAGCCCTGCCACAAGACCAGAGCAAGAGAGAGGATGTTCTTATCGGTTAGAAATCTGTACATCTTGAAGCTTCCCTGCCCGTCAGCAGATGCTTCCACATGGACGGCTGGGTTTAAGTGTTTTGTTTCTTTACAAAGGCACAGACAATGACCACGGATCCGAGAGCCAATGACCACCCACACGAGTGACACCACCACGCCGGTGTGTAGACAGGCCAGCCACTACGAGCCAATATGCACATCCTGGTCTGTAAAAACAATAGGTGAAGTTTTGTAAAAAAGACAAAACACATGGTCTCTGTATAGCTATTAAACAAATGGCCACAGTGGGCTTCCGGCTTCCAGCTCAAGGGGCAGGGCTGTCCTAGAGATACCTTGAGAAGTGGGCACTGGAGATTGAGTCTGGGGGCGAGCAGACAGGGCTGAGGACAGGATACGGGGGAGCAGGCTGGCTGGCACGGATTCGATGTCTTTCCGCTTGAGCCGAGGAGGCGTCTCGGAAGCGCCTTTCCTGGCGGTTGCCTCCCTGAATCATCTAGGAATGTCCACACTTGCTGTCTGGTCCACGCATTTAGAAAACTGCAGTGGGTCTGAAGGCTCAGGTGAAGGTCACAGAGACCCCAAATCTAAAACCAAACTCATCGCATGTGCTGACTCATGGCCACCCCAGGTGTTCTAGGGCAGAACAGAACTCCCGAGGGTGTTCCGAGCTGCCAGCTTTATGGAAGCTGGTCTATGGACCTTGCTTTCTCAATACCTAGGAGGGGAGGAGGCTGCTTGAGCCATCTGTTAGGTTAGTCGTCGAGGACACACCGTGGTGTCAGAGAAGAAGCATGAATTCCTGCAGGGACCCAGGACTTGGAATCTTGAATACAATCAGAAACCAGAGCCTTGAGTCCTGCTTGGATGACAATGTCTTTGAGACCACCATGAACCCTGCCAGGAGGTGCCACAGTGCCTCCCCACCCCCACCCCATCTCTTCCACTCAACCCCAGGACCCTGGGATACCCTGCCACCTAGCCATATCCCATCAATGTATCTGTAATTCTTTGAGAAACAGCAAGAAGATGAAGGAAACGAGGACGCATCTTCACTGCTGAGGCCGGGCGGCATGAAGCTCCCTGGTGAAGGAGTCAGCTCTCTAGGAAAGCCAGCTCAGGTGTTTGGCTGCAGGGTAGATGTAGGGCTTGGCTTTGATCCGTCGCGGAAGCAAACTGTCCAAGTGGGCAGGATTCAGGGAGCCGGATTTAGTGCTCTTTGTTGCGGGGGAACTCAGATCTCTGAAAAGGGGCTGTTCTCCGGGGGCCGTTTTCCAGGTGAGAAGCCAAGCAGACAGTGGGGAACAGGGATATGCCCCCAAGTGGAAGAGTAGGGAAGTGCAGCCGGCGAGTGCGGAATTCTCCTTGGCACTAGCCCACCACCACCGGCAGCTCCTGGGGGGCACCACCCCTGACAAGTCCCCAGATGGAGAGGCCGGTGAGGAGCTAGAAACCGTCAGGACAGCCTGCTGCCTAGTCTTGGCGGGGGTGGCTGCCACTTGCCCCCCCCCCCTTTCTCCCCCAAGCCTCCCTGAGAAGGCATGTGCCAGGGGCACAGACCTGACCCAGCTCACCTGGAGGCCAGGTGCAGTTTGATCTCCTGCAGCAGGCAGCGCAGGTCTGCTCCTTCAACCAAACATACACTACACATTCCAGAAACCAGCTGGGTAAGCGTTCCCTTTCTTTAAAAAAAAAAAAGCCACATGGTCCTTTTAAATACAGCCAAAGGAAGGGTGACCCTCTAAGCCCTCTGCCTGGTCCACGCCGCCAGCAGCTCCTTGGGGTTCTTCTCAGATGGGGCGCTTGGAGGCACACCAAGTGCAGACCGGTGCACCCGAGAACCCACCGGGCTGCTCTGTGGGCGCTGCAGCCCAGGAGAAGTGGGTAGCCCCTCCGGACAGACTGAACACTGAGGATGTCTGTTCTCAAGGTCGTCCACTGGGGAGGGGCAGGGCACTCGGGGACAAGGGCAGCTTAGGATAATACAGGTTGACATCTAGGGGTGGTTGTCCTTTGCTCTTCTTAATCTCACTGGAGCGAGTTTACCAGCCCCCAAGAATGATCTGTCTTCTGGGCTGCAGCTTTGCGAGAAAGGGGCTGTGACCACAGAGGGCTGAGAAGAGGGTGCCCTGGTCCCATGTCACTTTTAGGGCAGGAGGGTGGGGAGACAGGTACCAAGTCTTTGCCCTCCATGGGGGGCGGAGGGCACTTGCTGTAGCCCCCATCTGCCCCACCCCCAAGTTGGCACTACCCCTGGGGCAGGCTGACCAGACCTGGTGTCCCCAGAGGGTGGAAATCAGGCCATGGCTTTGGTGGCCCCAGATGGCTGGCGTGGGCCTTTGAGTTCTCTCTGCTGGCACTGGACATGCAGCGGACGTTGGCACCTGGACCCAGCCCACCTTCGCAGATGGCGGCCCTGGATGGCCCAGAAGGGACTTGGGCCTGGCCTCCCCAGAGCTGGGAGGGAGCTGCAGGGGCTGGACTCTGACACCCGCCTGGGGCTCAGGCGGAAGATGTCTTCACATTATTTGGCAAGGGGTGGGGCAAGGCTGGCTCTGGGCCTGCCCAGGAAGCCGACGCCGGGAACCTCACATGCCGAGGAATCTTGGCTGAAAACCAGGTCAGGAGCAGGTTCCCAGTCTCCAGCACCCGACAGTCGCCTGAGCCCAGGGAGCAGGGGTGACCGTCGGGGTGGGTGGGGGTGGGGTCCTAGGTCGGCAAGGAGGCCCCTAGGCTCAGTGGTGGGGCCGGGGCTCGGGGGGCAGCAGCGGCTCAGCGTCCTCTTCCAGGGCTCGGCCGGGGCTCGCCGCTAGGCTCCGCATGGCCTCCTGCTGGTGCTGCTTGGCCCTGTTGTAGAGCAGGACACCGATGGTCACGAGGACCGTGCCCACGGCTGACAGGCTGGTGACCTTGTTGCCAAAGATGATGATGCTGAGCCAGATGGATAGAGCGTGCTTCACAGTACTGGCGACGCTGCAACAACAGATGGCCCGTCAGAGGGGGACACTGCCAGCCAGCTCCGGCCATGCCAGCGGCACAGGGCACCGTCCCTGTCCCGGCCAAGGCAATGGCAGCGCAGCTCTGCCCCCAACTGACAGAAGGCGGCCAGCCCCTGCCTCCTTTTCTGGGGGGGACTGCTTTGTAATAGGAAAAATGCCAAACAAAAGGAAAAGTAGGGGGGAAAAGGTTACAATGAAACTATGTTTATATAGATATGTGTTGTTGTTTTTTTGTTTTTTTTTGTTTTTTAGATATGTGTTTTGATCTCAGTGGGATCACACATACCACACACGTCTAAACACCTGATTCAAAAAACATTCATGGAAAAGCGGAATGAACCGATTAGGGTTTTTTTCCCCCGGGAACTTTGTGACACCCCCTCCCCCTACAACCAGGAGCGGCTGCCTCTGAGTGGGCAGAACAATGCCTGCGCTCGGCTGCTGGCCAGCAGGTGGGAGAGTCAGGTGCGCCTTGGGTGCCACGGAAGAAAGGTGTGGTGACCTACTTTTGAAAAAAGCATGCCCACTGGCAGCCCTGAGAGGCCCGTCCTCTGACACGTGTAGGGTCGTCCTGCGTCAGACGTGGCTGCCAGGGACCGGTACGGCTTACGACCCCAAAGCAACAACAGGTGTTTTTAAGAAACAACTGAACTGGCAAAGGTTTAACAAACACACGTCACAGGGATGGCTGACCAGGGCCCCTGACCTCTAGGGGTCTCTGCGATGGGAGTGATGGGCCAGCCCTGGTGTCTGAGTGATTCCCAGGGCCCTGAAGACCAGCGGAAGCACCCTTAAATATGGACGCATTTTCCACTCCACCTTCACGGGCCGAGCAGCTGCCAAGAACAGAGGCTGCATCTTCCGATAGCTGGCAAACAAAGGCAGTCTTGCCTCTCGGCTCAAGCTCCGAGAGCAAGTCAAGGAGCGACTCTCCTTCTACGAGACTGGGGAGGTCCCTGGGAAGACTCTGCGTGTGACGAAGGCGGCAAAGGTTCCGGCGGCTGGCTGTGGAGATGACTACGAAGCTGGAGCAGCGAGAGAAGAACCGCTTGACAAAGGAAAAGCCGCGACTGGCTGCCCTTGCACTTGCGGCTCCGGAAAGGAGCGTGAGGTCGGCGGGCAGGAGACCCCCGGGGAACGGTCCCCCAAAGAAGCAAAAGCAGTGGCCCTAGTCTGCAGGGATCTGGCAGGGACACCTGTCCCCAAGAGGAAGAAGCTGAAATCTCTCCCCAGAGGAGCCTGCACGTGATCCTCAAGCGGCAGCAGACCGTAGTGGGCGCATCCCACAGAGAAAGAAGCAGCTCTCCCCGAACGCCCCCACCCCTGCCAGCAGTGGACCCGAGGAGGCGGCTGCTAGCAGCAAGAGCAACAGCACTAAGAAAAAGAAAGAAATGAATGAAGCAGCCCATGAAGGTTAAGATGGACATTCCCTGGTGCTCCCCCACCCTCTCAACAGCAACAACAACAACGGGCAACAGCGACAGAGAAACACCCCGGAATGGAGTTTTGTGTTCTTGGCTTGCTGGTGATCGATCGCAGCATTCATTCCATTATGTTTGAGACCGGAAGCGTCTGTCCTCTCACTGCCCACATCAGGTCCAGAGGGTGCTGCCTGTGTGTGGTGGTGGTAAAGGGGAGCAGGGAGGCAGGGGACCTGGGGGGCGGGGGCGGGGGAAGGGCTGGCCCTGAGGCCACTTAAACACAAATGGATTGAAAAGCCACAACAAAATGGAATGGCAACTCCAGTTCCAGGCCCCAGGGGGGCTCATGACTCCCTCCCTGGGCATCAGGGGGAAAGACATGGCCATCATCAGGGGTGGGCCAGCGCTGACCTAGGCCGAAGGTGCCCAGACCACTCTGAGCACATCTACTTTGAAGATTTTGGAGGGCTGTCCTTACAAATCTGTGTCTCGAGACTGTACCACTGTAGCATTTCCAGAAGCATCAGTGCAAGGTGGCTTAGTAATGAGGAGTCTGTCATCACGGCCCTCGGTATAGACGTTTGCTGGAGCTCTGCCTAATTTATTTGTATCGGCTGCTATTGCTTATTTACTTGGATTATCGACTTCCCATGTATAGTTAACTTATTAGTCATCGATCAGTTTCATGTTGCTTTTATCATTTATTTATTGTTAACACTGGTGTAGGGAGCCAAGTCACAGCTCGCAGTCACCCCGTGTGAGACAGAGTAGAAGCGGAGTGTTGTCAACGCTGTGACTCTTACAAGAGATCTGGAATCGATGGCGAGGAGGGCACGGAATGCCAGGTGGGGCTCGATCAAGTGCAATGTAGCCGAGAAGTTCAGACAGCCGAATGAAGGTTGAAGATGACAGTGGGACAGGAGGAAAGTAAAAGGAAATAGAGGAAAGAACTAGGAGGCAAAAGACATTTACAGAGGCATAATCATAGGCATGTACATATGTAAATATATTAATAAATTATAGGGATAGAGGACCATGTGCATCAATTTATAGGTTAAGTATTAAGGTAGCAGACAGACATTGGACCACTGCTCAAGCCCTCCCTCAATGCAAGAACACTTTGTTCTAATAACCTGGTATTCTGTGATGCTCACCTTCCTGACACAATCACTGAAGACAAAAATGGGTGCATAAGCTAATGTGGTGAAGAAAGCTGATGGTGCCCGGCTATTACAAGATACAGCATCTGGGGTCT